GTAGATTTGAACGGCATTGTTATGACGCCATGAGCGCCAAGGTGACCTTGAAATACTCTCCCTGAAGTACTCTCATTTTCTTGAACCTGTAGCGTATAGACTACAAGGGTTTTGGTCTTATGAAGGGCAGGGCTGTAAACTGCACCGAAAAAGCTTCAGGATAGGTAGTTCAGCTCAAACCCCATAGAAATGTGGAACACCTCGCTTTCAAGATAGCTCAGCTGAGCTTTACGTAACCCTTCAAGAGCTCTCACGTTTTTTTAAATTGTCGAGCAAGTGCAGTAACCCGTGCTACCTGCCACGGAACGGTTTTTGCACGCAGAGTCTGGGAAAGTCGTTTCCGCAAAATAATTTGGGAGAGGGGGGCTGAGCAGGCGCGAAATATTAAGTCCCCTCCCCCCCCCCTTCACCGCCACACTCAAGCACACACGCCCCCAAACGGGTTTCTCCTCGTATTACGCTCACTTTCCTTTTTAAAGTCAGCAACATTAAGTCCCTTCCCCCAACTAAATAGAGAAGTACACTCCTGCCGTTGTCCTTGTGGGGGGGGGGGGGGCGAGGTCTGATCTACTCAGGTGCATCCGGACCACACCGCGTCCGTCCCCCTCGCCTGTCCCCCCTACCCCCCGCCACCCCGCCCCAGTCCCAGATCCGCTTTTCCACAGGTCATATCGGTACCTACAAGTACGCAATCGCAACACTAAAGCCTTCCGCTCTGTCGATTAACCTTCAATGCGCTTCATTCTGCTTGGATACAGTGTACAACACCCCACCCTGTCGTTGCGTTTTTGTCCAGGCATGAGTTCAAGTTCATCTCATTTAGTTTGTACGAACTACTCACATCTATCCACCCCTTGCCGTAGTCGACCCGACTGTGTACCAGCGCCACTCTTAGCGTCTATTTTGTCTGGTTTTGAATGTATGCTAGCAAGTGCGGTAACTGTGGTTGTCGATGACGTCTATGGTACCTACTTAACCGTACACCTCCCGCTGTTGTAGCGGCCTTCGACAAGTATTTCCCTCCCGGCAGGTACGGCCCCAGTAACCAGTTGCACAGCACCTGCTAGTCGACTCGGTACACCAACCAGCGCTCGCTGGTGTTCCACATGCGGAAGCACCAGGCGCCTGTGCACGTGCCCCGTGTGTGGCCGTGTGTGCAGCAATGGTGCACAGTCTGCGCCGCCACATGTACACCCGTCCACAAGATGTCCACCGGCCAGGTGTCGGCCGTGTTGCGGCAGCGTGGTCCTGCGTGTGCACGGCTCGTTTGAAGGCATCCCGTGAGTCGGCAGCGGGCGGCGTGGACGGGTGACAGTGAGCGGGCGTGGACGGGTGACAGTGAGCGGCGTGGACGGGTGACAGTGAGCGGCGTGGACGGGTGACAGCGAGCGGCGTGGACTGGTGACAGTGAACGGCGTGGGACGGGTGACAGTGAGCGGCGTGGACGGGTGATAGCGAGCGGTGTGGACGGGTGACAGTGAGCGGCGTGGACGGGTGACAGCGAGCGGCGTGGACGGGTGACAGCGAGCGGCGTGGACGGGTGACAGTGAGCGGCGTGGACGGGTGACAGCGAGCGGCGTGGACGGGTGACAGTGAACGGCGTGGACGGGTGACAGCGAGCGGTGTGGACGGGTGTCAGCGAGCGGGCGTGGACCGGCGACAGTGAACGGCGTGGACGGGTGACAGTGAGCGGCGTGGACGGGTGATTAAGCGAGCGGTGTGGACGGGTGACAGCGAGCGGCGTGGACGGTGACAGCGAGCGGCGTGGACGGGTGACAGCGAGCGGCGTGGACGGGTTGACAGTGAGCGGCGTGGACGGGTGACAGCGAGCGGCGTGGACGGGTGACAGTGAACGGCGTGGACGGGTGACAGCGAGCGGTGTGGGACGGGTGTCAGCGAGCGGCGTGGGACCGGTGACAGTGAACGGCGTGGACGGGTGACAGTGAGCGGCTGGACGGGTGACAGTGAGCGGCGTGGACGGGTGACAGCGAGCGGTGCGGACGGGTGTCAGCGAGCGGCGTGGAGCGGGTGACAGCGAGCGGCGTCGACGGGTGATACGGTTGCGGCGGGATGGCTCGGATGGCAGCTCGGAACCGACCACCCAATCAACGAACAACTGCAGTCGTGGAGGGGATGTGTGTACCTGGCATTACGGACTGATGTCGTAGTTGTAGCGGTCATGCTTGTACCGCGTGCTCGCTGCGAGACTCCCGTCCGGTACGGCGGGTCTCGCTGCGAGACTTCCGTCCGGTACGGCGGGCCTCGCTGCGAGACTTCCGTCCGGTGCGGGTGGAGGCTCGCTGCGAGACTCCCGTCCGGTACGGCGGGTCTCGCTGCGAGACTTCCGTCCGGTGCGGTGGGGGCTCGCTGCGAGACTTCTGTCCGGTGCGGTGGAGGCTCGCTGCGAGACTTCCGTCCGGTGCGGTGGGGGCTCGCTGCGAGACTTCCGTCCGGTGCGGTGGCGACTCGCTGCGAGACTTTCGCTTAGTGCGGTGGGTGTTCGAGCTGGCTGTGTCGTGTGATCACTGTTCAGAGCTTGCGAGGCTGCTGAGACAGGATTTCGAGTGTGTGGGTACCGGCAACAGTGTGACCTGGTCGGCCAGTGCAGCCGATAACGGTGGTAGTGTGTTTCTTCATTTATTGCTGCTCCGTGCATGTGCATGTTCTGAATTGTCTTTTAGATCCTTGATGTTCTTAATTGCACTTGCGCGCAATCGGCGGCGCCGTACTCTCATCTCGCCTGAGCTGTCTGATCCGCCCTTTTCATAGTATTCCGTCCCTTTGTGTTCCCCCCTCAGTTGAAGTAATGGAAGCGACGCCTATGGAGCGATGTACAGACCTGTTATTGCAGATTTAAGTTACGTATCTGCTGGGAGAAAGGTGTCCTGTGATTACCGTTTTGTGCTTGTGGCCCATCTTACTTGCTTTTTAGTGAGATCATGCTGGGTGGGTCAGCTTCTGATCGCATCGGGCGTCAGCCTTGGAAGGCGTGGCGTATCTTTGTGCGGTTGGTTACAGCCCCAATGTGTGCAGACATGAAGTGAAACTGTCTTATAATATTGTGAATATGTAATTTTCGCTTGCTTGCATCCTTCTACCTTCATGTTTGTCGATCGGAATAAATTGTCAGATCTTTTCCGCTGCTGGCAATCGTACACATCATATTTAATGCATTAAATTAGCTGATACGGAGCAACGAGGCTTGCAGCTGAGCGGAGACGTCGGAGCAATGAATGCCACTTAAATGACTTTTAAGGATGCCCTTGATGAGTGTTATCAGGTAGCAGATGCGGAGTCATAGATCATTGGTTTCGTCAAGCTATGTGGAAACATTTCTTGCGTTAACGTGAGAGGTAGGTGAACAAGGAAGGCCCTTCTCATAACGGCCATTGGCGGTAAAGTCGTGGACTGGGTACCCCCAGAGGTCAGGGATGGTTTTAGGACCGCACTCCTCTTCCGCTCAAATATCTGCTCAGTCTTCACCAGGGTTGTCGACTCGTGTACCTGACTGTGTTGGAGAGGGGTTGTAGCGGGGGGCACAACACCCAAACCTTTCCCAAATGTGTGTTTTTCAATCAGCTCGGACCACTCTATTCTATTAAACAGGAATCTTTTTTAGCTTTGTCGCATATATCAACCAAATCTCCGCGTAATTTATGGGTTCCTCGTTTATCCCTTCACATATCATTTTCACAGCGCCGGTGACGAAATAATCATGATAGCTTGCCTTTAACGGAAATTGCAACTTGAAAACAAGCCAATGATGCTCAATCTTCTGTTGACCAGTTTTAGCTCATTCCGAAAGTTAATTGGTGGACAAGTTGAGGTGTTTGGACGATCGTGAAACAAGACTGTGAGTATCAGTAACTACTCACATGGTCTCACTTTCTCCACCCGGCATCACAAGTTTGTTTTTTTTTTAAAATGCAAGCATCACACCGGTGGCTCGGCCGCCTATACACAAAGTCAGCAAATGTACGGCACAGGACACAAGACTAGCCCAGCGTAAGGCGCTCACCGAAGCGACGTTAAACCTCATCACTTATTAGTAGTGACGAGATCAAAATGTTTCACAGTATAACTAACGAATTATGGTATTTCGTAGGTGTCCAGGTACATGTATGCACAAACATTAGGGAGTGTTCTTCAAGGATTTTGAACTGAAGTAGCCATCTTAAAGATTATCCGCTTTAGTTGACAGCTAGCCTGCCCTGCTTAAGATGTAAACCATTCTAGCTTCTGAGCTACACGCCCGCCAAAAAGGTGTAGGCTTCAGACTGTTCAAGGTCACCCAGGCATCCATCGCTATAATAACGTCATTCAAATCCTGTTATTCCATCGGCCATGCGACGATCAGGATCAAGACATAAACAGTTGTCAAGTCGTTCATATCTGATGTACGTGAGCACGATTTCTGGATATAACGACTGTCAGTTGACTCTCAAGCGATTCCGAGCCAAGTGCGATGGCGCAATCCAACATAGACGTGTTGAGGAGCATATTTGCTTAATAGAGAAATTGTGCTGTTTAACGCAACGTG